TTCAAGCCTCCCAGGACCCCTCAGAATGTTGGAAGCTCTTTGTGGGGGAGATGTCGAAACTTTTTGTTGATGGAGCCTCGAACCGTCACGGTGCCGGGCTAGGTATTGTTTTGATTTCGCCAGACGGTCTGACAATTGAACATTCAATCACCCTTGGCTTCCCAGCATCCAACAATGAAGCCGAGTACGAAGCGCTTTTGGCCGGTCTCAAGAGCGCGCTTCAGATGCAAGCATCCGAGCTAATGGTTAACCAAGTTTTTGGGGTTTACGAGGCGAAGGATGATAGAATGGTAAAGTACCAAGCTCTGGTCAGGGACCATATCAAGCGATTCCAGGCGATCAGGGTCCAACAGATTGGCCGAGAAGAAAATGACCGGGCCGATGAGTTGGCCGGCCATGCTTCTATGGTTGACCGCACATCTTCCAACCCTCTGTTGATCGAATTCCTTCCAAGTCCCAACATTGAGGAAACCGGGCAGACAGATGTACACTGCGCCGAGTTAGGTCCTTCTTAGATGGACCCTATCATCATCTTTCTCAGAGAACGGACCATTCCAGCCGATAAGAAGGAGGCACACAAGGTGCGAGTAAAGTCAGAGCGGTTTTGGCTCTCTCCTTCAAGTGCTTTGTACAAGAAGTCTTTCACCGGTCCTTACCTGAAATGTGTGCACCCGAGCAGCGTGGAGGCCTTCTTGTACGAAGTTTACGAAGGCATCTGTGGCAGTCACATAGGGGGCAGGTCCTTGGCCTACCGCACTATTTCACAAGGCTATTAGTGGCCGTGCATGCAAGCCGACGCACAGAAATATGTTCGCAAGTACGAGAAGTGCCAGAAGTTTGCACACCAGATCCATCAGCCGGCCAGAGAACTTCTTCCCCTAACCAGCCCTTGGCCTTTTGCAATGTAGGGATTAGACATAGTGGGGCCGCTCCCAGCAGCACCAGGTAACCGGAAGTTCTTCATCGCGACAACAGACTACTTCACCAAGTGGGTTGAGGCCAAGCCTTTGGCAACAATCAAGGAGAAAGACGTGAAACGGTTTGTCTGGCAGAATGTGGTAACACGGTTCGGCGTCCCTAAAATTTTGATCTCTGATAACGGCACCCAGTTTGACGGTCGCCTATTTAGAGGGTTTTGTGAAGATTTGAAGATTGAATTCTACAACTCCACTCCGGCTTACCCACAGTCCAACGGTCAAGCCGAGGCGTCAAACAAGACTATTCTTGACGGACTGAAGAAGAGGCTTGAGAAAGCCAAGGGAAAGTGGGCCGAGGAACTTCCCAGCGTCCTTTGGGCATACCGAACTACCCCGCGGCGTTCTACCGGGGAAACTCCATTCGCTTTGGCTTATGGCATGGAGGCGGTCATACCTTTTGGAAGTAGCAGCCCACTCTCAGAAGTGAAAGTTTTGAGCCGAGCTAACGCCGAGGCCATTGTGCTTGGAATTGGATCTAGAGGAAAGCCGCCGTGAACAGACTCTCATCCACGTCCGCTGCCTACCAACAAGTAGCTTTCAAGGAAGTACAATAAAACGCGTGCCACCCCAGACCGTCTCAAGGTAGTTTGATTGGGGGTCTGAGAAAAGTCATTGGGCAACACCCTGGTGCCAGGTGAAGGCAAAACTAAGGGCCAAATTGGAAGGACCTTACCAAAAATCACCTGGTCTGGCGGGGCAGGAGGCATACCACTTGGAAGATCTGGATGATAGAGCAATACCCCGGCCGTGGAATGCGGCTAACCTCAAACTGCTACTATTTCTAGCTTTTGTTTTCTTTTGTGCAAATAATTTTTTTGCCTTAACACTTCAAAAATGTAATTCTTTTGTTCAATTTATTAGAAGTGTCTCATCTTTGCTAGCATTTTTGGTTGCTTTAATGGACTTACCAGAGTTACTCAGTCCAATTATGTAATATCTTGTGCACGGTTATTGGTTAAAGGTTGATATTCAATCTCTTAAGAGATGTTTACTCCAGTCGCAAGAGTGATGTTTTTGTTCAACTTAGGTGTATCCAACGAAGATGATTTACTCTGGTTGAAGGTGTTGATATTTGTTCAACCCTCAGAATTAAACCGAGATGTTTACTCCAATCGCAAGAGTTGATGTTTTGTTCAACTTAGGTGTATCCAACCGAGATGATTTACTCTGGTTAAAGGTGTTGATGATTTGTTCAACTCGGGACATTAAACCAAGATGTTTACTCCAGTCGCAAGAGTTGATGTTTTGTTCAACTTAGGTGTATCCAACCGAGATGATTTACTCTGGTTAAAGGTGTTGATGATTTGTTCAACTCTTATAATTAAACCGAGATGTTTACTCCAGTCGCAAGAGTTGATGTTTTGTTCAACTTAGGTGTATCCAACCGAAATGATTTACTCCGGTTGAAGGTGTTGATGATTTGCTTAACTCTCAGAATTAAACCAAGATGTTTATTTCGGTTGCAAGAGTCGATGTTTTGTCCACCCGGGTATATCCAACCGAGATGATTTACTCGGCTTGAAGCTGGTCATATCTGGTTCAACCCTCAGAATTAAACCGAGATGTTTGTTCCGGTTGCAAGAGTTAAAGGAGTTGGTGTTTTGTTCAACTCAGATTCCAACTGAGCTGTCTATTCCGGTTGGAAATGTTGAGGTTTTGTCCAATTATTATGAAAACTGGGATGTATTTTGCTCGGCTGAAGTGATGAAGACTCAAGATCGTGCAAACACTTGTGATAAATTTAGTGTTTCATTGATTGAAAGCAAGTACAAAAGGAGGGCTGACAGCCCAGTTACATAAGCAAAGCCACAAAAAAAAAAAAAAAAAACTAAGCCAAGGGGGAGAGATTGGTGAATTCATTCCCGGTCGTCTCCAAGTCAACTGTGGGAGAATGGTCTTGCGCAACGGTTGGAGTCTCGCCGAGCTGCGGTTGCTCTTCTCGGTCTTCTCCCTCAGCATCTGCCTCGACTTCTCCCTCAAGTCCTTCCTCGGCCTTAGCCTGCAACGCGCTGAAGACGTCGTTGGCATATGGTATGAGGTAGGTCGGTAAGAAGACAGCCGGTGGAGAGGCAAACACGTCGGTGTCAGGACCTTGACCGAGCTGTTGACAGGCAGCCTTCCATCCAACTTTGAAATAGATGTCCTGGGTGGCAAATACTTGTTTTTTATAGCTGTCTTCTGCCTCTTTGAAACCGGCGTTATTGGCGTCTTCACGTTCTTTCTCCCTGGACTTTTCGAGCTCGTCCAGCTCGGCCTGGAGCGCGTCTCTCTTTTGCTCGGCTTCATTAAGCTGGCCGAGCAACTTGTTGTTGTCAGCGCTGGCAACTTGGAGTGACGATTTTGCTCGGCCTAGCTCGGTCTGGAGGCTCTGGACTTGGCTGGCGGTATCACTGGCCTTCTGCCGGAGTCGGTGGATACGTTCCATGACCAAGTGCTGCTTCTGGATGGCCTGCAAAAATAGAATTCGATCAGAGAAGGAATCGTGCAAACACTTTTGAAAATTGGAGCAGAAGATTGAGATTCTTACCCTGATCATAAATTTCACGGCTGATTTCACCAGTCGGGTGTCAGGAACGTGGTCGCTGCCAACCACGTCGCTCGGCAGCAGTAGCGCCTTTGAGAGGTCGAAGGCAAGCAAGTGCTCACTGTCGCCTTTGACCGAAGCATTTGCCGGGATCTCTTTGTCCTGGTGTTTCAATTGCGGCCGCCACGCTGGAACGCGGTCGACCGTGTCGGCAGGTTGCTCGGTTGTCAGCTCGGCAGATGGGTCTGTGCGAGGCCTTTTGCCAGCCCGACGGGTTTCCTGTCTGGTTTGCCCGGTGGCTGAAGATGCCAGGGCGACCACGGGGCCGCTTGACTGGCCGGCAGCTGTGAAACGTGTGGCGATGCTCGGTATCTCGGCTGAGGTGGCTGTGAGCAAATTTTTGATGCGGCTTCTTTTCGCCATCTCTTCGGCTTCAGTTAACCGGATAAGCGGGACGTCTGGCAGAGTTGGGTCTCGAGGAGGAGTTGGAGCACGGAGAAAGTCTGTAACTTTACTCCGGCATGGTGCTGAGTATCTGTAAGTTAGAATGTAGCCGAGCAATTCGTTGCAATCTCGGTGGCTGTAGCGAAGCACAGTCCGGATTGCTTCTACGTTGGGGTATTGGTAGTTTGCTTGCAAGGCTTGAATTGCTGCAAGAGGAACAGGAAGAATGGTTAAGTGCAGAATAATAAAGTGAATTGACCAAACAAGACAGCACGGCTTACATGTGGAACCAAAGTTCTTGCTTATGAACCAGCCCGGTATCTCGGCTATTTCATAATTGCTGGTTACCTAGAAGAAATCGTCATTGTGCAAGTCCTTGTCTGGTGTTCCGGTCACGATTTTTTCTTTGCCCGGCCTAATCTTAAAGTAATAGGCGAGGCCATCGCCGGTGTGCCCCAGGGTGTACTGTCGCAGTATTTCGGCTAAACCTAAGTTAGTGCCTAGCTGGTTGTTAAGCTCGTGCACACCGTTTATTATTCGGTATGTGTTGGTGGACACTTGAGTGGGTGCTAGCCCGGTGCGGCGCAGGAACTCTGTAATCAATGGGTTAAGGGGGAAACGAAGGCCTCCTTCGATGATTGGCAGCACGGTAAAGGGGCACTGCTCTCTTTCCCAAGGCGTTGTCTCAATTTCTGCAAGCTCAAGGTGGACGTCGGCCGGGATGTCGTACTCCTCCCTGAACACAGCCAGAGCAGCCGGAGTATCTACCAGGAACCGAAATTTCCCCATGTACGGCCGGCCTAAGTTAGCTCGGCTTAGGAGGTTTGGCACAGTGGTGATTGGAGGCTGACCGGTCCTTGTTAACCTCAGTAATGGTCAGTGGTCCACTTGGACTCTGCAGGAAAAGGATGGCAAGTGTAAGAGGAAGCGCGGTCGCGCAAAGCGAGCTTGACTTTAGGTCGGTCATGAAGAGTGCCAAACCACCTCGGTCGTAAAGGCTAACCAAGGAGCTCGGTCGCCCAAGCGGACCAGATGTTAGCTCGGTCGAGTGAAAGAGCTACTGCAGTGGGGATATCTATGGGAGGATTTCATCTTGGAAATGTTGTGGGCTTAGTACTAACTCCCATGGCCATGTCATCGATTGGAATAGCTGGCCCTTTCATTTTATTCTCGTCTTTCGGATTCCTCTGGCTAACAACATGGGCATATGGGGTTGCAAATGATCCGCGAGAAAGCCAATTTATCAGCAAATCAGAGCTACGGTTGATCCAATCTGGGAAGTCTGATGCTTCAATAGACAAGGCCAAGCTTCCATCTCTACGCCTCTTACTGTCAAAATTACCCACATGGGCAATTATCTTTGCTAATGTTACTAACAATTGGGTAAGTTGTTTTTGTTTATAGTGAAATTAATGTAAATATTAATATTTTTGCATTGAGAATTTGGGCCTTGTTTTTGAATGCAGGGTTACTTCATTCTTCTCTCATGGATGCCGGTTTATTTTAAAACTGTGAGTAACAATTTCATTGGCATTTTCTTTCTTTTAGCTCTTTATTTTTGTTCGGAATCGTTTGCCACTTACCAAGAGCATATAGCATAAATTCTCTATTATTTTCAAGCACACAATAATAATTAATTTAACTATTTTGTCTCATTTAATTACACATTGTTTCAACTAAACTATGTGAATGTTCTAGGATCCCCCAAAAACCAAAAATGATGCACAATTATAATAGTACTATTTATGAGTACTAATGATAATTATGGGTTGTGGTAATAGGTATTTAATGTGAATTTAAAACAAGCAGCTTGGTTTAGTGCGGTCCCATGGGGAACAATGGCGGTTTCAGGCTACGTTGCAGGAGTAGCATCGGATTTCTTAATCAAAAAAGGGTATTCTATAACATTAGTCCGGAAAATCATGCAGGTAATTTTTTAATTACCTTCTGGATAGAATCATAATTTCTTTAACTTGTTATACTAACCATTGGTTATTGTGATAATGAATACAACAGTCAATCGGATTCATGGGGCCAGGGGTGTCATTGCTGTTGTTGAACTATGCAAAGACACCAGTAGTTGCATCCATGTTCATCACAGCAGCCCTGAGCTTGAGCTCTTTCAGCCAAGCTGGATTTCTCCTCAATATGCAAGTAAGTTCATCAACATTTTTCATTATTGCACAATTTTTTATTTGCAAAACTAGAGCAATTTATGCTTTCTTAAAACAATTAATTATAGTTCTTCAATAACTTTGGTGTACATAAATGTTTTGTACACAAATAAAAAACAAAAGAAAAAACCATGCTTGGTTGCTGGAGGTGGTGGCCTTTGATCGTCGGAGGGGTTTTCCGGCCACACACTGCCGGGTAGCTCACCGCCGTTGTGCTCGCAGGTCGATTGGACAGACAGGAGTTTGGAAGAAAGGAGTGCGGGCTTGCCTGAATATTTATTCCCCGTACATATATATATATATATACATTTTACTTTTTTTTGTGGGTAAGTAAGCATTTCATACCAGAAAGAAAGAAATATATGACAAGACTCATGACTAGGGCCGTAAGAAAAATTAGTAGAATCTAATTGATTGCCTAAGACTATTGAAATTTTCATTTTCAGTCAATTTTCTATAATGTACGATCTGTTTTGGTTTTGAAACAGTTTACACCAATACCAGTGGAACCAATCAAAATATATATTTAAATACTATATATATATATTTGAATATTATTAGACAATAAACTATCAATGCTATGCCTAAATATATATTTAAGTACTATATATATATTTGAATATTATTAGACAATAAACTATCAATGCTATGCCTGTTGCATTAAATAGGGGAGAGAAATATTTATAGAGCAGTTCTAATCCTTTCTCTTCATTTATTCCTGAGATTCAATAGATTTTTATTAAATTAAATCTTAAAGTCTCCGCTAATCCATCATTTACACTAGATCAAAAAATCAACAAATCGAAACATTCTATGTGGTTTATTTCGGTTCCTCAATTAACAAAACCAGAAGATTTGATTTGGTACTATTTTTTTTTTCTCAACCTCAACTGAACCGATTACACTCCTACTTTAAGACACTCGTCCAAAGGACACACTGACACAACCAAGAGCCCACTATCTTGGTTCAACAAGCAAGGAGGAAACACCTTCAAAAGCCAAACACAACCAACCAAATACAAGAACTTGTGCTCAAAACTTCACTAGATTTATTAGTAATGTGTCAACCTTATATCAATCAGGTGGTTTCCAAGCCATGAAAGAGCTACTGCAGTGGGGATATCTATGGGAGGATTTCATCTTGGAAATGTTGTGGGCTTAGTACTAACTCCCATGGCCATGTCATCGATTGGAATAGCTGGCCCTTTCATTTTATTCTCGTCTTTCGGATTCCTCTGGCTAACAACATGGGCATATGGGGTTGCAAATGATCCGCGAGAAAGCCAATTTATCAGCAAATCAGAGCTACGGTTGATCCAATCTGGGAAGTCTGATGCTTCAATAGACAAGGCCAAGCTTCCATCTCTACGCCTCTTACTGTCAAAATTACCCACATGGGCAATTATCTTTGCGAATGTTACTAACAATTGGGTAAGTTGTTTTTGTTTATAGTGAAATTAATGTAAATATTAATATTTTTGCATTGAGAATTTGGGCCTTGTTTTTGAATGCAGGGTTACTTCATTCTTCTCTCATGGATGCCGGTTTATTTCAAAACTGTGAGTAACAATTTCATTGGCATTTTCTTTCTTTTAGCTCTTTATTTTTGTTCAGAATCGTTTGCCACTTACCAAGAGCATATAGCATAAATTCTCTATTATTTTCAAGCACACAATAATAATTAATTTAACTATTTTGTCTCATTTAATTACACATTGTTTCAACTAAACTATGTGAATGTTCTAGGATCCCCCAAAAACCAAAAATGATGCACAATTATAATAGTACTATTTATGAGTACTAATGATAATTATGGGTTGTGGTAATAGGTATTTAATGTGAATTTAAAACAAGCAGCTTGGTTTAGTGCGGTCCCATGGGGAACAATGGCGGTTTCAGGCTACGTTGCAGGAGTAGCATCGGATTTCTTAATCAAAAAAGGGTATTCTATAACATTAGTCCGGAAAATCATGCAGGTAATTTTTTAATTACCTTCTGGATAGAATCATAATTTCTTTAACTTGTTATACTAACCATTGGTTATTGTGATAATGAATACAACAGTCAATCGGATTCATGGGGCCAGGGGTGTCATTGCTGTTGTTGAACTATGCAAAGACACCAGTAGTTGCATCCATGTTCATCACAGCAGCCCTGAGCTTGAGCTCTTTCAGCCAAGCTGGATTTCTCCTCAATATGCAAGTAAGTTCATCAACATTTTTCATTATTGCACAATTTTTTATTTCCAAAACTAGAGCAATTTATGCTTTCTTAAAACAATTAATTATAGTTCTTCAATAACTTTGGTGTACATAAATGTTTTGTACACAAATAAAAAACAAAAGAAAAAACCATGCTTGGTTGCTGGAGGTGGTGGCCTGAGTGTCGCTAAGGGTTGCTAGAAGTCACTGGAGGGTTGCTGGAGCTCACTGGAGGCCGGCAGTAGCCGAGGTGTTGGATGGTGGAGGTGGCTGGCAGTGGGTGGTGGCCGGAGGTGATGGGAAGGGGAGGAAGGGGTGAAAATTTGTTTTGAAAACAAAAGAAAACACATTTTTTGTTTCTAAATGTTTCGAAAATCTTAGAATTGATTCCACTGTGAAAAACAAAAACAATATACGAAATAAGTTTTTATTACCAGTCTTAAATAAAAACATAAAACAAAAACATTAAATACAATCCCTTCTAACATTCGTCTTTGTTTGATCAGGATATCGCTCCACAGTCTGCAGGATTCCTCCACGGTATGCTCTCAAATCCACTGAGACATTTCTTTAATTTTATTTTTATTTTTATTTTTTGCTAAAAAATGCTAACATATATTTCTCCATTGGCAATACTTATCATTTGTGCAGGCATTTCAAATTCAGTAGGGACACTGGCAGCAATAGTGAGCACAATAGGGACAGGTTACTTTGTGCAATGGCTTGGATCTTTTCAAGCATTTCTTTCCCTCACTGCTGCTCTCTATTTTGTCACTACCATCTTCTGGAACCTCTACGCTACCGGCGACCGAGTCTTCTAGAAACTTCTTCCAACTATATTAGGATATATCTGAGAATACGCGAAAGAAAGAGGAGGGATATGCAAATATATATTTATTAAAGGATAAAAATTTGAGTCATTCTTTCGGGTAAGTATATGATCTATGTCAAAGAGTAGTTTTTTGTTTTGTACAGTTTGTTATATTTGTTATGTGACAATATTTTTCTTTGTATAAACTTTCATATTTTTGTTAGATCTTATGGAAAGAAGAAAAATCAAAAGAGTCTTGAGTTTTTGGGAGGTTGACAACTATGATTAACATCACAATGTACAGATAAATTTCACAGTCCAATGATTTGAGGATTGAAAATGCAGCAAAAATTGCGAATTTTGTTAAATTGAAAATTCTGTTTTTTAGGCTCCATTTCTAGATTGATCCAATTGGTTGGCACACCATGCAAAATATGTGCCAAATTGTCTTGGGTCCCAGTTACGAAGTTGGCTGTTTTAGTTGGCTAAAATAATTGTATTTAGAAAGAATGTTAGATTTTTTTGTAGTTGGATGTGATAAAAAATGAAATGATTATGAATTTGATCTAACATTTTGTCTTATTAGCTAGTCTATTTTGTTTTCTTAGTACTATTTTAGCCTAAAAAAATTTATTTTGGTTTACTCATACTTGTTAGTGGGTTGAAACTCCACGTCATCAATGGGATACAAATTTATTTTTTTTATTTTTATTTTTATTTTTAATGTCTACACACAAATTAGCTAATTCTCTCTATGGTTGTGCTGGACCATGTGATCATGATCCGACGGTTCAAATTGAATCGATTTACATGAATTAGATATTGTGATGTGAATCAAACAATTAATTACTCAGTAATATCAAAATACTGACTTATAGTTTAATCGAAATAGCATCACTTTAGTCATCGTAATTTTAATTTAAACAATTGAATTTTATTTTTTTAATTTTGTTACAATGTAATTTCTTCTTTATGCGCCATTAACATTTTGAATGGAAAAAAATTATGTGCAACTAAAGGGGCTAAAGTAGAATTTAAAAGAAACTATAAGAATTATCGGTATAATGAATAAATTATATTGTGCTTATAATTTTTTTTTTAAATTTAATTTAATCTCTATAATTTTGTATGTGATCCTTTTTTTCATTTAAAACCCTGACAAACTAAAGAATGTACGAAGTTGATAGATGGTGTCACAAAATTGATCCATCCACTTCCTTTTGCCTAATCTCAATAATTACTCATTGATTACAAGCCGTGTATTTAGCGAATAATGTTCTCTCTTTACAAGTAATTATCATGTGTTTTAAAAATTTTCATGTTAATAATGTGTCCAATAACAGAGGCTTGATAATTACATGAGGGTAAAAATTAAAAAAATAATGATAAAAATAATACAATACTATTAAATGACCATATGGCCACGTAATCTTCCTGCCATTCTTTTTTATAGGGTCCGTTTGTTTTTAAAGTTAGGTATAATAAGAATTTCAGTAAGGAGATTGTCAATATAGGAATTGTTAGTGAAGGGATTAAGAAAAATTATACTTGTTTGATGACTATTAGACTAGCAAGAATTCATGTTTATTTGGTCATTCTATGACGGGATTAATTGTATGAAATTTCATAAATACTCTTAGTGTTTTTATATATTTTAATATTAAAAATTATATTGTGGTATTATATTATTTTATGTTGATATATATATATATATATATGTATGTATAAATATATTATTATCCTATTTTATTTTAATATTAAATTATTTTTATAAAATGAGGGACAAAACAATCATTTTATCTCTAATCCCATGGACTTAGATTGAGAAATTGGGAAATTTTATTTCCATACACCTAATTACCTCAATGCACATATTTTTTCAGTACACACATTTAGTAATTTGATTATTAATTTTTATTTTCATTTCACACACCAATTATTCTATTTATATCCTTAACTCATATCTTGTACATACATCATCTCAACCCTCTTCCCACACACCTATTCAAAATGAAGAGCAAGGATATGCCCTATTTCGATTCACAGTGAAGACAAAAACAACAACATGCTTCATTATTTGATGTCAACAAAGATCATAAGGGACGAAGGTGAGGTTGTTACAATTGAATAACCATCATAAGGGACAAAGCTAAGGATGTCACAATTGAATAACTATCATAACCCAACTTTCATTGTATTGAGTCCCCATAGTGCATTACTCCATCCTATCGAAAAGAAATAGACATATGCATTAACTAGTCGTGGGAGTGGGCTTGCATAATAAGATATATGCATTTTCAAAATTCAAATGCACTATATTTTTTATTATGAGTTGGAGATATACTATGAACAAAAGATGCCGGAGACAAGAAGAATCACTGTCTTCTCATAGTTTCGATAAACATGTGAAATTGCAATGCTTCTGCTTCTTCTCATCTTGATAGCATCATTACGCTAATTCTTCTTTAAAAGATCTGGAATAGTTTTAGCTGAATCGATATTATAATGTAATTGTACAGTTTGCAAGGTTTTTTCTGTAGATAAAAAATTTTAAAAAATTAAAGAAACTAAAAGGTGTTAGACCAATTACTGAAATGTGCATGGAAGCATTTGGCTTTTTGACTTTTTAGCTTTTTTAATCTGGGGTTAAAAAGTTTTGTTTGGGATAGGCTTTTTGGCATTTTTGGCTTTTGTGAAAGAAAAAATAAAATGATTATGATTTGGAGTTACATTTTGTCTTATTAGGTTAAAAAGCCTATTTTGTCTTTTTGTGGCTATTTTAGCCAAAAAGCTCCCATTTAGCTTAAGTGAAATGAGGGCTAATGAAATAAAACAAATCTTCAACCTAAAAGATGTGTATAGAGAATATTTTGATATAATATTATGAGTGTTAGTAGATGTCATTATGATCATTTTAATTTAGGGTATAATTGTTATTAAAATAATATTTCATTAAATGTGTGGACTAGCATCTCCAATCACATCCTCTTCTCAAGAGGATGGAAATAATATTTTTTATTCAAAAAGTAAATATAGAGGAGGTCACTATTCATTTAAACTCCAACCACAAACCTTCATTTCCTTCATTCAAACTTCAATCAAAAAGTAATTTTTGTTCATTAATAAATATTTAATTTTAAAATTTTTGTAAAACATATTTAATATTATACTCATTTTAAAGGTATGATTTTATACTTTTTATTGATGTCATTTTTATAAAAATTAAATTTACACATTAAAAGTTATTTCGAATATAATTAAGAAATATAGAGTGAATAGTATTTTAGAGTCTCCTCCATTTTTTCATCCCCCCTCTATATTTTGAGGATCAATTCATCCTCCTCCATTTGGGAGGAGGATATAGAGGATGGGTTGGAGTTATTTTTGGGAGAGGATCCTCCATATTTGAAGATATGGTGGATGGGTTGGAGATGCTCTAAGGTAACTAGATGCGTGAAAATAGAAATTCTACTTAGGCCCTGTTTGGGGACTTACCTTTTTAGCCAAAAAGCCAACAACTCATACTAAAAAGTCAAAGATTCTCTTTTCTCTCTATTTTTGCACATCTTTTCATAATTAGCCAAAAAGTCATCCCAAACATATAAGTTTTTTTTACCTACTTTTTTAACCAAATAGCCAAAAAGTTACTTTAGCCTGTTCCCAAACGAGGCCTTAGACAACTATTCTAATTCATTACACTCAAAAAAAATTATTACAATTTTAACCCTAATCAGAGTTCCTAAAAAAACCCTCAAGCTTTAACAATTTCAAATCCTAATTTCTCATTTCGCCCACCATCTTTTCAACTTCCTTCACTGGACCACCACCACTGTCGTCCGTCATTGCCCACTTATGCCATCGCCATTGCCAGTCGTCACCACCCATCTACGCTGCCCCAACCCCTTTTTCCCTCTTAACTACCACAACCACTTTCTATTATTCTCCTCATCCTCTAAGCCCTAGATCTGAAACCCATCTCTCTCTCTCTCTATCTCTCTCCCTTAGGTAGAGCAATTGCCTGTCTTTGGTTCGAAACAAAGAAGATGAGGTGTGGAAGCAAGAAGGATCACAGTAGATGAGGTTTGAATGGAGGGTCGCGAGAGTGGAGATCGTGGTTGGGAAAGAGATCACGCTGGCGGGAGAAGATCATGTTGCCGGCAAGGATTAGGGAAGAGATCACGACTATAGATGGGGTTGTGACGCCGATTGTGGTCGAAGGTACAGGCAGTGGTTGTGGCAAGAGGTCACGACGGCGACTATAGCTAGTGGTCGCGGGGATGATAGTGGAGTGGAGGTGGCAGCGGTGATCGAAGGTAGAGTTGAAGGTGGAAAAGTTAAGTATAAAGATAAGGAGAAGGAGGTGGTTAGGGATAAGGGTAAATGTGGAATTATAAAGGATGTAAAAAGAGAATAAGGCTTTGTTTGGAATGATTTCCAAACTATATGTCTACCCTTACATTCCAACATGATGTTTGGATATTACATTTAAATCATATTTTCACAACATTTACAAAACTCTGCACAAAATTCTGTCTGATGAGCGGCAAGAGGTCACGACGGCGACTATAGCTAGTGGTCGCGGGGATGATAGTGGAGTGGAGGTGGCAGCGGTGATCGAAGGTAGAGTTGAAGGTGGAAAAGTTAAGTATAAAGATAAGGAGAAGGAGGTGGTTAGGGATAAGGGTAAATGTGGAATTATAAAGGATGTAAAAAGAGAATAAGGCTTTGTTTGGAATGATTTTCAAACTATATGTCTACCCTTACATTCCAACATGATGTTTGGATATTACATTCAAATCATATTTTCATAACATTTACAAAACTCTGCACAAAATTCTGTCTGAGGAGCGATTTTTAAAAAAAAAAATTCAAATTTGGCCTAACCGGTCGTCCCACCGAACGTTCCACCGGTTGTCCTGCCAGTTGACCGAAACAGTACAATTTTTTTTTTTTTTTTTGCAATTGACATATTTTAATTTTTATATATTTGAAAAAAATATCTTCTGAATTTTTAAATTTTTTTATGTGTTTTAATAGAATTTCGAGTTGTATGTTTAGTTATGAGTTGTAAATTTTTGTATCAAATATCATATGACACATCAAAAATTCTCTACTCAATTCAAAACTATTTTCAAAACTCTTTTACCAAACAAATTTTTCACACTCAAATCATAATTCTAAAACTCACAAACTCAAAATACAATTCATACTCTGAAATTATATTTATAAAACTCTATCGAACTCAACCTAAATTTTTTAAATAGGGTGTAAATAGAAATAAGTATAATGAGGTAGATTTGTGGCATAAGTAGAATTAACTAATTAGATTTGAATACTATCTCCTTGTAAGATTGATAGTCCGCTTGTTAGACAAG